TACACTCAGCCCCGTCAAACACTCTCCAGATGCTCCCCCCACATCAATGTCTGGGCTAGGGAAGCACGAAGCCCTTTTGTTTATCTGAAGAGTTTGTTGTGGCCCAACTGTTTCCTAACAAAACTCTTAATGAAAGATGTCACAGCTACACACTTGCCTTCATCTATATCGTATTTTCCTGACAGTCCCCCTGAGTTTTATCTTTGACTGGAAGCCATTTCTTTGTTTTAGCATCATTTCCCATCTGAGGGTCTGAGGATTTTCAGAACCAGCAACTCTGATCATCTGTGTTTAAGAGCGTCTCCAAGCATCTCTTCAATCATGCGTTTCGCTGTAAAGAGGGGAAAGCAGCCAGATAGCACCTTGAGCATTCTGCCTGGAGATCTCTTGTAAGTCACTCAGTTCAGTAACTACATATTCTACTTTCTTGCAAGAAGTATCATGTATGACAGTGTTGTTAAACCATTTACCGTATCTGCTTTAGCGCTCTCTTTCTCTCTCTCCCCCGCCCCCACCTCTTGCATCATTAGAAAGTTGTCAGCACTATGACCCTTTACTCATACTTCCTCACGCATCTTCTACTAATAATGTGCGCACAATCACAATACTAGTGTCACTCCTGAGAAAACAACAATGATTCTGTAATGTTCATGCTGCATCCAGGCCGTGGCTCGCGCCCCTCCCAACGTAGCAGCGCTCTAAATCTGTGTTGTTGTTTTTAACTGAGATCCATCTAGGTTTCTGCTCTGTATTTTGTTATTCTTTTCATAACCTTGGACAGCCCCCACCTCATCTGCTTTTTCCAATTTTTTAATGACGCTGACTTTCTGAAGACTCCAGGACTGCTGTCCTACAAATCTCCCCCTTGAGTCTGTCTCTTTCCCGTGGAAACTTGTCCTGCTATCTCCCACTGCCTGCAACTTGAAGGTTAGGTTTGGATTCTAGAACTACATTGCCCAGCATGGTAACCCCTAGCTACAGATGATTATTTGAATGTAAATTAGTTTTATGAAGATTAACCTAAATTTTTATAACCACATTCTGCATCTCTCTAGCCTCATTTCAAGTGGCTTAGACAGTAAAGAATCCACCCGTATAACTGCACTCATTTCACATGATAGCAAGGTAACGCTCGAAATCCTTCAAGCTAGGCTTCAACAGTATGTGAACTGGGACTTCCAGATGTACAAACTGGATTTAGAAAAGGCAGAGGAACCAGAGATCAAATTGCCAACATCTGCCAGATCATAGAAAATGCAAAGGGATTCCAGAAAAACATCTACCTCTGCTTTATTGACTATGCTAAAGTCTTTGATTGATCACAACAAACTGTGGGAAATTCTTAAAGAGGTGGGAATACCAGACCACCTTCCCTTCCTCCTGAGAAACCTGCATGCAGGTCAAGAACCAACAGTTAATACTAGACATGGAACAATGGACTGGTTCAAAATTGGGAAAGAAGTACGCCAAGGCTGTATATTGTGACCCTGCTTATTTAACTCCCATGCAGAGTACGGAAATGTGAAATACCAGGCCGGATGAAGCTCAAGCTGGAATCAAGATTGTTGGGAGAAATATCGATAACCTCAAGAAATGCAGAGGACACTACCCTAATGACAGAAAGCAAAGAGAAACTATAGAGCTTCTTGATGAAGGTGAAAGAGGAGAGTGAAAAAGCTGGCTTAAAACTCAACATTCAAAAAACAAAGATCATGGCACCTAGCCCCATCACTTCATGGCAAGTAGATAGGGAAAAAATGGAAACAGTGACAGACTATATTTACTTGGGCTCCAAAATCACTGCGGATGGTGACTGCAGCCATGAAATTAAAAGATGCTTGCTCCTTGGAAGAAAAGCTATGACAAACCTAGACAGCATGTTAAAATGCAGAGACATTACTTTGCCAAAAAAGGTCCATATAGTCAAAGCTATGATTCTTCCAGCAATCATGTATGGATGTGAGAGTTGAACCATAAAAAAGGCTGAGTGCCGAAGAGTTGATGCTTTCAAACTGTAATGCTGGAGAAGACTCTTGAGAGTCCCTTGGACTGCGAGGAGATCAAACCAGTCAATCCTAAAGGAAATTAACCCTGAATATTCTGAAGCTCCAATACTTTGGTCACCTGATGCAAAGAGCCAAATCACTAGAAAAGACCCTGATGCTGGGAAAGCTTGAGGGCAGGAGGTGAAGGGGATGACAGAGGATGAGGTAGTTGGATGGCATCATTGACTCAATGGACATAAGTTTGAGCAAACTCTGGGAGATAGTGAAGGACAGGGAAGCCTGGCGTGCTGCAGTCCATGGGGTCACTAGAAGTCAGACATGACTGAGGGACTGAACAACAACCTGCAGCAGTGTTCTTGCCTGGGAGATTGCATGGGAAGGGAAGCCTGGCAGGCTGCAGTCCATCGGGTCACAGGGAGTCAGACACGACCTAGTAACTAACAAACACTTCCACTAGTGTACTGGTAAAAAGTGAAAGTTGCTCAGTTGTGTCTGACCTATACAGTCCATGGAATTCTCCAAGCCAGAATACTGGAATGGGTAGCCTTTCCCTTCTCTAGGGGATCTTCCCAACCCAGGGATCGAACCCAGGTCTCTCGCATTGCAGGCAGATTCTTTACCAGCTGAGCCACCAGGGAAGCCCAGGAATACTGGAATGGGTAGCGTATCCCTTCTCCAGCAGATCTTCCCGACCCAGGAAAGGAACCGAGGTCTCCCGCATGGCAGGCGGATTCTTTACCAGCTGAGCCACCAGGGAACTGTACTGGACAAGTGGTAGTGTTTCCATCATCATAGAAGCTTTTGTCAAATAACGCTGCTCCAGATGCTATTATATGAGGCTGGACATTTTAGGCAAGACTGTTTCTTAGATGGTTACTTCATACTCCATACTGCATCACATGCAGAGGCCTGCCTGGGAGTCCCAGGGTGCCCCGAGGGCCTTATAAGTTACACATGTAACTAGGAATATCAAATGTCCTCCACATCATACTCTGGTTGTCAGCTGGGATCCCACATTCTGTGATGGCAAGATTTCTGGAGAAACAAAATAAAATCAAAGAATTTTAGATCTGAGAGGAAACTTTGATATTATTTTATAAGCAGCTGAGGAAATTAAAGCCCACAGAGGCTCAAGACTTGCCCAAGGTCACTGATGCTAGTTGGAAGTAGATACCGACCTTCAGCAAGCATCTTCTTGTTGCTAGCCACTTAACTGAAAACACCCAGTGATGACTGAGATCAGCTGGTACTAACACTACTAAAATAATTAGAAAACAGCTTTTATTGAGTACTTATCAGTATTAGATACTGTATTTAGTCTTTAAAAAAATTACTTTAGAGACTTCCCTGGTGGTCCAGTGGCTAAGGCTCTGCACTTCCAATGCCAGGGGCCTAGGTTTGGTCCCTCATCAGGGAACTAGATCCTACATGCCACAATGAAGATCGAAGATCCCACTTGCCATAACTAAGACCAGACACAGCCAAATAAATGAGTAAATAAATAAATATTTTTTAAAAATTACTTCACATGCTTCTTGCAACTACCGCATAAGGAAGGCTACTTAGAGAAAATCTCTGATTAACAGGAATTTACTTTTTCAGGTAATAAGAAACCTAGAAATTGTTCAACTCCAGGAAAGCTGATACCTCTCTGATCATGGTGGCCTTTCCACCATGGTTGCAAGGTAGGTGCTGCAGCTCCAGTTATCACATCAGTGATAAAAGCAGGTGAGCCTGCATGTGGTGGTGCCAGCAATTAGTCTCATTTACGGCAGAAGTGAAGTCTTTCCCAGAGGCCCAGAGTGGACTTCTGTAGTACTTATCACGTGATAAGACTGCACCCGTGTTGCAAAAAGACTGGGAAAATGAGTATGTTTGACTCTTTGGGCTTCTATAGAAGAGATAGGGAAGGGGATGGGGGTTGGATTAAACCAAGCAACGGTGGAGGTGTCCGTATCCTCAAGGTTCAGGTGAGGAAGCCAGTGTGCTCAGAGTGAGTAAGCAGCAGAGATGCTTAGACTCCAGAGAGCATGGTGAGTATGGCGTGCTTGCTGAAGAATGCGATGAGGACTCTGATGTTGCCAGGTATGAGCTGTTCAGACACTTCAGAGGTAGGATGTGTGTGTCCTCAAAGAACAGGAGTGAGGCTGCCCCAGTGAATAAAAAACTGAAGGAGGACATTCAGGAGAAGAATGCCACAGGTGTTTGGGTTGGACAGCTTAGAGAGCTTTTACTTACTCCACTTGTAATATATATTTATAGCTACATTTGAAGTATCTACATACTTAGTGCTATATATATTCAGTGCTTTGTTTATATATCATAAATATATTTATTTAATATATGCTGTATTTCTTTTCTTCCCAACCTTCTCTTTACTGTGGGAGCTTAGTCTTGCCAGCCTGGTCTTGCCAATTGCACACCATTCAAGAAGGTGTTTCTTATTGCTGGTGAGAGATTCATGTAATAAATGATACAAATTAAAGAAAAACGGGGCTTCCGGCTCCTCCTCAAGTTGGCAGCTACACATGGACCCCTGATCATAGACAGTGCTGGCAAAGGCTGTCGGCACAGTGAATACAATCTTGCTAATGGTAATATGTACCAAAAGCCCCAAACATGCTTTGACCCAGCAGTTTAAGATTTTATTCTGAGGAAATAAATGTGGATGAACATTAAAAATGGTCACAAGCAGGCTCAGCATAGCATTGTTCATAGTAGGGAAAAATTAGCAAGAGCTTTTTCTAAAAAAGAAAGTTGGGAGAAATGTATTAATATTATAAAGTTAAAAGTGAAGCAAAACATGTATGTGGTAAAGTTATAAAGAAAAATGTAGGTCTTGGTAGGCAGTGCAATGGGGCAGATTGGCAGGGGAATCAGTCCGGTGTCCTAAGTAGCGAATGTGTGTTCACGTGGGTATAGTTGGTATACATTATCCACAGTTGTTCCAGCAAACGGAGCGGCATCACAACAGAGCCTGATTTTTCACGGCAGCCATCGTCCTGGGGGTTGCTGGAAATCGCCGCCGCACAGTCACAGAGGACCAGGCTTCCCCAGCCAGGGGTACTTTCCTGAACTCTCGGCGGCAGAGCTGGCGCGGGAGCGAGAGTGTCGAGGCAGCGGGTGTTCAAGGCGCCCTCACGCCGAGCCGCCCGGCCCGGCCCGGCCCGATCCTGTCCGCTCCTGAGCATCTCTCCGGCATCCATCACACGCTTTATGCAAAAGTCGCACTCACGATTCTTATCTGTAGAATGTTTCGTTGTTTAAAAATGAAAAATAAAATGGAACGACCCCCCAAATTTGATCCGAGTGCGTGGGTTAAATCAACTGCTGAGCAGCGGTGTGGCGGGGCGCTACGGAATCCTTGCAGGGAAGAAGCAGGCGGAGGTTTGAATGTCAGGGAAAGTGCTAGAGAAAAGCTGGTGACAAAAGATGGCTCGCTGTGTGTCGTCGGAGCCAGGGACCTAGAAAGCGACGGAAACACGCCCACCTGCAGAACTAGGATGCTGGGGTCGCAGGGGATTTCTAGTTGCTCTCTGCATTTTGCTTTCCGGTTAAGATCTGCCTTTTCTGCAGTGAGCTTGGATTACTTTTGCAATTAGATTAAAAATAAAGCTTAGTTGTGAGTAAAAAATATCAGCAGGGACTTTGCCAAGAAGGGCTAAGCAGGGTCCCCTCCTGGAGCCTCCTCGGGGGCCGTTCCACCCTCTTCGCGCGGGTGCGGTCCTCCCACGGGGCTCGGGGCTGGGTCCTGGGAGAAGTGGGGTCCGAGGGGCGGAGCGGGGCCGGGGGCCGGGCCCGGGCCCGGGCCTCGGGCTTCCAGTCCCCGCTCGGGCGGTCGATCTGGGCTCAGGAGCCGCGGCCCCCACCCCGATCCCGGGCTCAGCGTGGGGCTAGTGCGTGCGTCGCCGGCTGTCCAACCCGCACCACAACGCTGGGCGCCTCCCAAACCCCACTTTCCAGACGGAGAGCCGGGGACACCGGGATGTCCCGGGACCCCAGTCGTCTGGACGACTCCGGGGCAGAGTCGTCCATCTGTATGGGTGTGTTCCCTCCGTGCCCGGCAGGGCTAAGCCAGGGAGATGAGCGGAAGACGGCGAGAGCAGGAGCACAAGGTGGGACGAGGGAGCTGGTCTCCAAAGTCAGAAAGAGCGTCCTCCCCAGGTTTAAGGTTCGCGGCGGGCCGGGCGCCGACCTGAGCGAGGCGCAGACGTGCTTCCCAGGGCTCCCCAGAACCGATCTACACATTCCTGGCACTGCGGCCTTGGGTACTTGAGGGCGAGACACACAGACCCTCCAGACCCGGCCGCCATCTCTGCGGCGGACGGGCCACCTGTTTAGCATCTCCCCAGGAGAGGGCGGAGAAGGGGATGGGGAGCAGGACTGCAGGCCGGGTCCTGAGGAGACAGGTGCTCCCTGCCCTCCAGACTCTGCCTTCAGCAGAATCTGTCACCTCCCTACGGCCCCCTCACCCCTCCCACTCCTGCGCCTGCATTCTAGGGCCCCATCTTAGATTCAGGTGAGACAAGTCCTAGCCGCCTGTGCCTGCATCCTGTCACATTTGAGAGGAGAAACTCATTCAAGGGCAAGCTTAGCAGGTTTGAGGGGATGAGCACTCTGACCGGAGGACACGACTTTCATATCTGCATCTCTCAAACAGCTGAGTTCCTCCTAATGACAGGCGAGAAGAAGCTAATGCCATCTGTGCTCTCTTCCCTGGCTTGAGAGCAACTCACTCCACCCAGGATTTCATAGTTTCCTTGGAGAACTTGGTGAGAACAAAGGAGTGATAGCTGGTAACTGGGGGACACTTGGGGCAGAAGACTCCAGGGCTAGCCCTAGCATCATCTACCAGAGCTGAACACCCGATCTTGGACACAATTTCCAGGTCCCACTAGACCTGGTCTCTCCCCAGGGGTGTCTTTTAGCAGAGCTGCTGGGGCTGAGCTGCAAAGGGGGGCAGCACCCCTCATGCTAGGAGCTCAGGAAGAACTCTCCCCAGTACTTCTCAAGACCCTTGACTTATAACCTTAACACTCTTGAGTTTTGTTACAGAATCTACAACATCAGATGTTTTAGAGAATATGTTGTTTCCCTAGAAGCTGTAGACTGTCACCTGAGGTTGAACTTTACCTTTAACCTTTTTATAATTAATTGCCTTTTAACCTCACTGGATTTTGTTGTGAGTGACCAGCCACAACACAGGGCGGGAGTGGGGGGGAGGGTATTTTCTTACTAACTCACCCCACACTATCCCATAAAGCAGCCACTGGCTGTGGAGTTACTGTGCACTTGGGAAGCAGCTGCTCAAAGTTCACTGTGCCGGTGAATATAAAATCCACACTGGATTTGGAAGACAGTATGGAAAAAGAATGTAACATTTCTTATTAATATATTTTATATTACTACATGTTGAAATAATATTTTGATACATTGGATTAGATACTAAAATAAAATTCATCATTTTAATGTAATTAATGAAAATTTAGTATACTTAGTTGATATGTTTTTAATGGACAGTCCTGGCCTAGAACATACATGTAAAAGCATGTCTCCTTGTACACTTTAAAACAAGATGAAAAATTTCTTTCTTCCTTAAAAACATGGGATCATTTATACCCAGGCACTTTTCAAAGGTACAGGTATCCACCTCCAATTCCCGTACAATGAGCACCAGGTCTGTGGCAAATATGACTTAGGGGCTTCAGGACCTCAAGGCTGTTTGTGGTTTCAAGTCCAGAGAGGAAGAAAATGCAACGCTCCCATGCACGCCTGTTCCAGCTGAAAGGGTAGCTCTCTTCTACCCTCACTACACTATTCCTGATCACAAGATCAGGAGCCTTTCCTCACAGAAGGAACTCTGTGAGTTCTGTGAACTCGAATCTCCTAGTAGGGAGATCCAACAGGACCCAGCTTTAAGGGAGCGGGGTTGTGTTGATAATCATACCCACTCCCATCACACCATTTTGAGAAAGGCTTTGAGCAGGATCCGCCCCGGACACTTTGGCACAGCGGGTGAGGCAGGGGCATTATAATAAAGAGCTGGGGTGGGGGGGTGGTCAGTGAATGGCAAAAGGTACACCCCAGTAATATGATGGACAAAATGCTGCTTGTCATTCATGTCTGGATCTGGGGCACTCACAGATCTCATTCTACATATAAATGGTAGGGAAAAAAAGTTGCCTGAGGTTTCTCCTTCCCAGCCCTGGTGGGCTCTACACCCATGGCTGAGCAGCCCACGCCAACATTTCAGGATGGTAAGGTGACATGGGGCAGTGGCAGTGAATGGGGCCCTGTCAACTTCCACCTTCGTATCTTGGATGTACTCAAAGGGAATTTGCTCCTGTCACACTACGGAGCTCATCTCCTGATGGGGAAAGGACTAGCTGGGAACACATTCTCTCTCTCCACTTCAGTTTCTCTTGCTCAGGGAGATGTGCAGTGAGGGAGAATAGAGGATTTCTAACATTGGCTGAGTGACCATAAAGTGCCTGGTACAAGCATAAAGTAATATGACCCTTGGACTGCAAGGAGATCCAACCAGTCCATCCTAGAGGAGATCTGTCCTGGTGTTCACTGGAAGGGCTGATGCTGAAGCTGAAACTCCAATCCTTTGGCCACCTGATGCAAAGAGCTGACTCATTGGAAAAGACCCTGATGCTGGGAAAGATTGAGGGCAGGAGAAGGGGATGACAGAGGATGAGATGGTTGGATGGCATCACCAACTCAATGGACATGGGTTTGGGTGGACTCCGGGAGTTGGTGATGGACAGGGAGGCCTGGCGTGCTGCAGTTCATGGGGTCGCAAAGAGTCAGACACGACTGAGAAACTGAACTGAACTGAGTATGACCCCATTTTGCAGTTGAAAAAACTGAGGTTTTGGATTCTCTGAGTCACTGAAAGTCTCCGCACATTTTCAGCCCCCACGTTCTCAGATGTGGGTTTCTTTGTCAGTCCCACGCACCACCTTCTATTTCAGAAATTACAATTTCTGATCTTGTACATTTTTTGCCTGGAGAACTATTAACATTATGGACTTTTGGAGTTCAGTGAAATTTGGGGGTGGGGACAGATAAGAATGAGTACTCTGTTGGCCACTTTTAGTCATGACCTTTGATGTGTAAATGACCCTGCTCCCATTTCCTTGGGGGTAAGTTTATGACCCGGGGCATGTCCAGTGAGATGTGTGAATTAGCTCTGAAAATCTTCTACCTGATTTCCTGTCCTGTTTTAAGGCAGTAAATTATGAAACACTTCTTGATAAATATTATCTCAGTTAGTAATTCATCTAAAATACAGCCTAACTGTAGCAGCTATAGATCTGTGAGAGAAATACAGTTTCTGACCAAAGAGTTGGATTTAAAAATCAAGGTCCCCCTACCTATACAGAGCACACACACCCCCCCGATAATTAATATCAGGGTACTAGCTATGAGTTTATGTAATTAAGGCTTCTGTCATCCTACTTCCTTCAGATACTTTTTCCTTAGCTAGATTTTTTTAATGTTGGTGAAACAAAATTTCCTTATATTCTCGGAATGCGTATTATTTCCAGTTCTCCTGAGACTGGGTGCGTCCCTACCTATTCCACCCCTACCCAGCTAACCTCAGAGTCTGCTGTCTGTCCTTCAGAAACTTCATCTCTACCCTCTTTGCTACTCCCCAGCAAAACAGTCAAAGCACACACCCAAATTTATTTTTATTGTGCATACATAGGAAACATGACCCTATCAAAAGAACAAAAAAGACAAATGAGTCAAGTGTTACAAGAGGAAAAGCATGCACAGACCTACTCCCAGTTCACTCCTAGCCACGGACTCTATGGGACTTCACACACCAGAAGTTGGCTTGGACTGGCTCCAAGCAGTGGGCACTGTCCACCGACAGCATGGGGAAACAGTGAGCAGGAAATATCACTGTAAGAGGAATTTCCACACACACTGACCACTGATTGGGTTCTCACCAAGGTTCAAGGGAAAACAACGTTTATCTCACACAAGCATGAATATAAAATAGTTCGGTGCTACCTAAATCATCCGGTCTCTTAAGATCATTTGCTATAAAAAAAACCAAAAAAAACAGAATTTCATCGTGGACATGTGAGTGCCTACGTAGCTGCACCATCTCCAACCTGGGGCGCTTCCTCATCAGAACTGCAAAGAAGAAACCGGAGCTGAAAATGCCAAACAAGGGGCCTGGAGGAGGAGAAGCTTCTGGACCTGTGCAGCTATCCTGGGTTGTAAACAGCAAATGTTGTGCTTTGTTGTCTCATTCAAATCAAGGACTTGAGTGTCAGGAGGGACTGAAGTTGGGGACAGGAGTTCAGAGGTCACGCTCGGCAGTCTAAAGCACCGACAGCAGCATCTGTGTTCAGACTATTTCCAAGGTGCTCATCTGGCTCCAAGAGTGCCGCATGGAGCCCCTGGGGAGACTCCCAGATTCTCATCTGACTCCTCAGATGAGGAGTCTCATCTGACTCCTACTCCAGCAGAGCAGGGACATGCATACAAGGAGTGGGGAATGAAACACTCAGCATCGAGTGAGATGTCCTGATGCTCAGGTTCAATGACTGACAACCTCTCAAGAGGCTCTGATTAGTTCATTTCAAAAATAAGCACCCCACCCCACCCCCGCCCCATCACTACACATACATGTCTCCGCTACGATGCCTTGCCCTTCCTATACACGACCCATCAGGTCTCAGCCTGGGTTTGAGTACACGATGGTGGGTGTAACCTACGCAGAGGAGCAGAACTCCAATTGTTAGTCCCCTAACAATCCAGGACTACCTGTGACTCGAGGGCCAGAGAGGTTTCTGAGCCAGGTTTGCATTTCCAACCACATCTTTATTCTAATATTGATTAACTCGTCAGTGAAATCTATTTGGTCCTTTTGGAAGAGATCTATTTGCAGTCCCGGGGTTTTCTGTTCCTGTCTTTTTCTTAGCAAGCTCCTCCTCTGCAGAGCCTGGCACACACCTGCTGAGATCAGTCAGCCAGGGCCCAGGCTTGCCCACCCAGGCTCAAGCCAGTGGCTCAGCTCTGCTGGGACGCTTCTCTCCAGTGGCCGACGTGGCTTCCCAGCCGGATGTACCTCTCTGCTTTGAAAGTGTCCATCACAACGCACTGCCAGGCCTGCCTCAGCGGAGGGCGCAGAGATGCCTGGCTGTGATCACAGGCCGGAGAACTGCTGACCCCCAGGAAAGACTGACCTCAGGGCCCGACTCCACACCACCTTCCCCAGATGCACAGCTCCATTTTCCCCCAGGTCAGGCCAAGAGCTCATGAAATGCAATGTCCAGTTTGACGCAGGAGGCAACTTCCCATGAATTTAAATACCTTCC